CTTCTTGAGAGATAACAGTACCTCTGATCCATCTTTCCTCTTCCATGCCTTTGAAGCAATAGCATTAGCATTGACAGGGGAACTCCAAACGAAAACCTTGTCACCTGGTTTGTAAGGTCCATCTGATGGCATTGTTCGTTTGGCCATGTCATGTCTGAGGTCAGCAGCTTGTCTGGCTTCCTGATGTGCCCTCAGTGCTAACCTTTGCAACTCGAGTTGTGTTCTGTCTTCAGGTAAAGGGTCAACACTAAGTTGAGCAGGATCAGAAGTCTCAATATCCAGAAGATCTGGTGGTCTTCTACCAGTGGCAATTTCCAAAGGAGAATAACCACTAACAGTGAGTTGAGGGTTTCTGGCCCAAACAGTACGCTTCACAGCTTCTCTGATGGTGATTCCTTTGAACCTATCATCTTCAAGGTTCTTGGACATGATTTGCCATTGTCTTTTGAAAAGTCTGACAGCTGATTCAGCTCTGTTAGGCCATGGGGTTCTTGAACCACAGGGACATTCCTTGATACCATGAGTTCGGTAATAAGTCAGAAAGTCTTCTTGAAAGAAAGCTTCATCCCCTACGATGGCTTTAGGCATACAATTGTGTTCATCACTCCACAACCTTAGAGCCTGAATGGTCTCCTTGTTGTTCAGCGAGTTTTGTGCCGTAGCCCAAAGTAAGTTGGTTGCACCATCAAGAACAAGCAACACCATGTACTTGTTCTTCCTCAACTGAATTTCAGCATGATCAACAAAGATAACATCTCCAAAGTTGGTGGATCGTATGCCTGAAATTCTGGCTCGCGGCGGTGGTGCCATGGAAGTACTACACACACGACACTTGTTGTACATCTCCTCATACTTCTGATAGACAGAGTCAGGAAGTCCTAACATGGAAGTCCTTCGTCTGAATTGAGTAGGAGACATGTGATAGTGTTTAATGTGAAGCTTGTAAAGTTCCACACTATCCTCCAGTTTCCTGAGCATCTTTCTGTATGCTGGTGTCATGGCTTGCACTTCACTACCAGGCAGTGGAATCGAAACTCGCCTAGGCTCAAGAGCATCACTACCTAGTTTCTCAACTTGACTTTCTGAATCTTGCTTACCACGGTTGCGCGCAGGTGCAGAATGTTTCGGTTCAATGACTTGAGGTTCATCTGAATCAATCTTGTCCAAACCTAATTCCCTAGCTACCTTGTCAAGCTCATCTTCTTCATCAAGCTTGGGATAGGAGACAACAACCTTCTTTCTTGATGACCCTGATTGAGAGTCATCGACAACTTGAGGTTTCTGCTTACCTACGTGTCTTTTGGCTGCAGGTGGACCTACCTCAATCTTTTTCGAGCCTGGTCCATTTGAAATCGTTTTGCCTTCCTCCTTCTTTAAGGAGCTTGGCTTCTTCTTCTGTACACCTGATGGCACTGAAGAGGCTGACTCAGGGTGAAAAAGATCATCAATGTTTCCACGAAAGGGCTTTGCACGATCAATGTCACTTCTGACAATGTCATCTGGGATCACGTAGTCCTCCTTGATCTTGTAGATGGTCTTGCCCTTCCAGAACTCTTCACTCTGTTCAGAAACCTCTTCTTCTCAGTGCGCCAGTTGTCCTTGTGAAGAACCTTCTTCTTGCTCTTCTGGAATTCCATGTGGGTTTCTCTCTCATCAAGAAGTTGATCTTTTGGAATTGGAGTTTTCTCTGATCGAGTCATCTCATGTAAGTTCATTCTCTTATCCTTGTGGTGCCTGATGAGTTCACGACGTAGTGGATCAACCTGCCAGTAGTCACCAGTCACCAAAGCTTCTCCTTCATGATCATCTTGTTTGACAGCAATCTGGCTGTACTCAAAGTGATCGTGTTGTGAATAGAAACTTTTGACTTGTGGAGTCTTGAAATGAACTTGGCTCATGTACCATGCTACATCTTGTAGGTCGAGAATGAGATGAGTACTAATGGCTGTCCTCAAAACCATTTTTCTCATGCCAATACGTGCACAGGACAAATAAGCCTTCTCTGGAGTAAGTTCAAATTGAAATCCAAGGTTTCTCATCTGTGGAAGTGACATCAACAACGGGACATCACCTTCTTCGACAATGTCGAATTCTGTAAACTGAGTGTTCCATCCATGATCATACATGAATATCACGAGCTTCTCAGTACATTTTGATTGTTGTGAGTTTGCCAAGAAGAATCTTGAACTTGTTGGCTGAATTTCATACCAGAGTCCACTGTTGGGATGTGAGTCAACATATCTGCAAAATGCTTCAACTGCTCGTCGAGAGCCCATAGCTCTTGTGCATCCAAGATCCAGAATACACACAGTTGGTGGTGCAGAATTCTCTGTGTGAAAAGCTAGTCCATTCTCACATGCCAGATCAGTTTGTACAGTATGAAATGAAAAAGCACTCTGCTGTGATGGTTCCTCTATCTCTGTAGAGCATCCATATGAAAACAATGATGTGCCTTCTGCCAATGGCTTCCATGAAGCCTCACCTTCTTGAAGACCAACTTGCCTGGGCACTACAGCTGGACGTTGTTGTACACCTTGTCGTAGTGCACCAACTTCTCCAACCAGAACAGGGAATCTCTTCATTTCTCTCCTGTTTTGATGTGCTCTTGCATCACGTTGGTTCTGTCCTCCACGACGAGTGCGTCGTTGTTCATCTTGTGCTGAATACGTGGATGTCAAAACATCAACACGTGCTGGCTCTGTCTCTGCAACATCAACACGTGCTGGTTCAGTTGTTCCAAATGAAAAGAAACCATGACCAGAACTTGAAGCTGCAGAAGAATAATGAGCTTGTTGAGTTGGTTGATTCTGTATGGCAGGAGCTGATGTGGTCTGAGGTTGAACATAGTTCGACTTGCCTTTTCCATCTCCTGGCTTTCCTCCTTTTCCATCATCATCCTTGCCTTTCTTGCCTTTCTTTCCTTTTCCTTTTCCTTTTCCTTTCCTCTGGAAGTATCCATACTCATCCATGTAGTACAGATCATCATAGGCCCAATAGCCTTCATTCCAGGTTTGATCATCGGCCCAATAGCCGTCATAGTTTTCATTCCATTCATCTTCTTGCCATTCATCTTCATAATCTTCTTCACTCACCATGTGAGCACGGCCTTTCCTTCTTCCTTTTCCTCGGCCTTTTCCTTTCCTTGATTTGAAGAACCTTCGTCCTCCTCTGCCTTTTCCTTTTCCTTTTCTCTTTCCCTTACCTTTGCCTCGTCTGATGTATTTGCCTTGGAACCTTCTCTGATACCATGTGAAGTTGGCGTCATCATAAACCCAGAAAACATCTTCTAAGGCATCCAGGAATCCTTCTGCGCCGTCTTCTTCATCTTCGGCCCAATAGCCGTCGGTTCCTTCTAATTCACCTTCATCCAGTACGAGGAAAGATCTTCTCTGTGCCATGCCAGAGGGTTGCATCAATGGATTGTCAACTGCTGTTTTGGTAGTGCAAAACATTTCCAAAAACAGGTCACGTAGTTCTTGAATACTGTATCGATCGAGGGTTCGTCCACGATGTGTCATGATACTTGTGAGTGTGTTTCTCTGATCTTGACTCAGGTCAGCTAGACTTACAAAAATCAATGCTAGCAAATTTTCACCCAGTGGGAATGCTTGTCGCTGTGCTTCTCTACGATTTTCCTGAAATTGTCTGAATGCCGCTAGTGCCAGTTCATCTGTCCAAGGAACAGCTACATGGGGTGTTCCTGAGGCTGCTGCTACTTCAGCTCTCTCTTGTTGATCTCGTTCATGTTCTTGACGTCGTTGTTGAACAAACAGGATTGCTTCAGGACTAGTCACTGTTACTTCTGGAAGTAAATCCATCCAAGACTCAATAAGTCTATTGCCAGTGAGTTGAAATCTAGTCATCCACTTCTGAAGATCCATTGTTCCTCTGTTGAACTTCATGAACTGCATGAAACGGTATAAGAACACGTTCTGGGCACCTTTGATGAAATGAGGTCGTAGAAATCTTTTGAAATAGTGCACTCCTTCATGGGGATCCCTGAGTAGTTCTCTATCCAATAGCCTCTTGTATTGTTGAGCATCTCCTTCCAGTCTGTTGCGCAATGCTGGACCACGTTTCTCTGGTTCTAACTCCGTAATGTCACACCAGTCATCAATTGCATCCTCAAAAGCAAAGAAGCTGGTTCGCCCATCATAGGCTGGAGCAACCTTTGTAGTCATCTGTTGCGTCATATGAATCTGTGTATGCTGGGGTGCTCTTCTCATTGCATAAGAGTCATATTGGTTCCATTCATTTGCATCGACAATGTCGAAGTCATCATCATCATAGCCATGGCTTGCCATTTCTTGGGCTCTACCTGGAGCTCACCCTCAATGAGGGATCACAGCTCCGCTACCACTTGAAGAGGGGCCCTAGCGTCTACTTCAAGATCAGCTAAGGCGTCTTCCCCAATGACAGCACTCTTTTACTCTCAGCCTGTTGCCGGTCAGTGCTTGTCTACAGGGTTACTCTATATACCTCTTTCTTGAGCCTTGAAGGCGCATATAAATGTGCTCAATACTCCTGCATGTACCTATGTAGGTATTAGGTCGAAACAAAAACAGGGGCCCCCCCCCCCCCGAAAATGGTCATGGGTTCAATTCCCACGGGTGACGCGGTCACGGGCCCCCACATTAGAGGCACACTTTCCATGAGGGAGATGTCCCTGTAGTCCAGCATAATTGGTATGCTTCAGTCTCAATAACAGTTGCTGCAAGGGGTCTTAAAAAGGGGTTTTTAATAAACCCCTTTTCGTGCATCATTTCACGCAGCACAAGACACAGTGTCATGCAGTCATGCTCTGGATAAAATCATCTTAGACTGCGCAAAAACGTTTTTGGTGTATCATCTTAGGGGCGCAGCATTTTGACACCACTCCTCTCCCACTACACTACCTTTCGTCCGCCTCCGCCTGCTCTCAAGTGAATTCACCCCACCTTGGGCCTCAAGTTGAAATCAGAGAATCAGAGTGTTGTTCATCGGCTCTGCTGATTACCAAGGTGTTTGTATCTCGAATCTGAATAGCTCTTCGTCCTTTGTTGCTGATCAATCTACGGTGGTTCTGGGCTGGGGTCGCAACGTCTACAATGTAGTGGGCTTGGGAGAAGATCATCGTGTGAGCTTGATTCCTGTCAAGATCGACTGCCCAGATTTTGAGAAGGGAGGTGGCATCTATGAAGTTTCCTGCGGCCACAGCCATAGCCTCTTCCTTCGAAAAAATCGCCACGGACCTGGAGGTGAAGTGTTGGGCTCCGGCCTGGGGAATCGTGGCCGCCAGGGCTACCCCAACCCACATGCCGATGCAGATGATACCCCGGAGGTGGAGGATATTTGGTTCGTGGAGGGACCGAAACCCATCCCCATTTCCAATGTGCCCATCGCACGCATTGTTTGTGGAGCAGATCATAGCTTAGCCTTGGACCTGAATGGCGTTCTATGGGCCTGGGGGATGAATGCTGATGGCCAGTGTGGTGTTGGGCATCAGCGCGATGTCTTGGCTCCGGAAGCCACTGTGATGCCCAAGATGAAGGGCGCGAAGGCGATTTCCAACTGGGATGCCCCTGGATGCCTTTGGTAATCTCATGAGAAAGGGGTCTATTGAGGGAACAATCCCAGAATATTCCAAGTCTCAGAATTGCTTGAAGGGAATTCCTGTTTTAATATGTTTTAATGGGTATACCATGGTTTTCTGCAACGTTTCTCGGACAGTAAGTCCCCAAACAAACAACTGCTCTTGGGGATTTAAATTATTGGAATATCTGTTCCACAATGAACTCAGCTCTCCTCATTTGTTCAGGTCCTGGTGGCTCACATGGCGGCTGGGAGCCGACATTCCATGTTGGTGATCGCCAAGGAGGGGGCAAGTCGTAGAAATTGCAAAGCTGTCACAGCAGGTTCATTCATGCAGGTTGCATCAGGTTGCAGGTTTGTTGGTGTGATCATGGTGTTTGTTGTCCCTGTCTTCAAAAAAGACTCTGGGCACTGAGGAAGATTTAGTTAGATGGGTCTGAATTGCTGTTCAGTGTGCTGCAAACACATTCATGATTTTGCATGCCTTCAGTCTTTGAGATGTCATTGGGATGGACAAGAGGAAGCCCTACAGGGTTTGTAGTTGCCATCTCTCAGCTGATTTGGCTTCCAGGGTCCATCCAGTTGTACAGGATGGGAGCATGGGAAGTACTGCTGGAGGAAAGGTCTTCGTGTGGGGAGCCAACTCTGATGGGCGGTTAGGCTTGGGCCACGACCGGAACGAGCCACTTCCCGTCCCTGTGCCCTGGCATTCGGGGAGGTTTCGGTGAGGTAGTCATTGAGTGAAGCTTATATTTCCTGTCCATAGTCGAAAATCCATAGTACAGTGCCCCTCCAGATGGGCAGAACACGGCTTTCTAAAGGAATCCCTGTGGTATGGTGGTGATGGCCGCCGAAGACCAGTCATGTCAAACAGCTTATATGATTTCAGGTCTATGTAGTGACGTGGTTCACCTTCCTTCAGCTATCCTGCACCTAAGACAATAAACCAATGTCGAGCATCTTGTGACTTGTGCGTACTTGTGCTAAGATCAGGGAAATATGTTGCCCGTCTTGAGTTCTATGATGTTATATAATTATCAGAAAAACTATCAGCCGCACTGTAACACTGCTTCCCTTGCCATTCCCTCGGATTGGTCCTCGATGACAAGGTGGAAGCCCTGTTGAATCACAAGATGGTCCTTGTGTCAGCTGGGGAAGCGCACAGTGGTGCAGTTGACACAAACGGAGCCTGGAATGAGTTGGGTGCGGGACATGGATCACTCCCAGGGCCGATAGGATGCCAAGGTAGCAGGCCAAGTGGGAACAGAGTGGCAACCACGGGCTTGGCAGAGGGATTTCCCATGATTTCCCAGATTCGGAGTTTCAGAGGGCTTTCCATGCTCCTTGATTACATAGTATGACAATATATTACATAATTTACATACTACTTTCATTACTTTCTTGGGAGGAGCCGGAAGTACCACTGGTGGCTTCGCTCAGGAAATCTCTACATGTGGGGTCTTGGCTCCTATGGCCGCCTTGGGCTGGGAGAGGTGATGGATGTCCCCTTGGCCCGCAGGACGGAGCATCATGGATCACTTGGGTGTGAAGGTATGCTATATCCGCAAATGGCCATTCTTTACAGGGAAAATGAATGAAGAGGATGATAAAGATCAAGATTCATCCCTGGATTTCGGGGTACCATATTTTTAAACAAAGCCACTTTGGGCACCAAACATTAGCCGTCATCAGCCAGGGTACCTCTTCCGGATGATCCTCGCGTGTCTCAAGTCGCCTTGGGTAGCTTCCACAGTGTGGTACTGGCCGGCAGCCGCACCCAATCTGTGTATACCTGGGGCTGCTTGGAGACCAAACCCAGCTGTATTTTTTGAAGCTCTAGTTCTCAAGTGTTTTTTGTTTTTGGGACTTGGACATATGCTCATTCTTCAGCTTTTGCATATTTTTCGAGAAAATCTCCAAGTTGGGACCCGCTTTCGTCAAGCGGTCAACTTCCTTTTTCTCGCCAAGGTTATGGCGAAGCCTTGGGCAACAAGGTGGGTGGTGGCATCTCCTTGTCTCCTTTGGTGGTTTCGTTGGAAGACACCAAGGCTCAGGCAAGGCCCTAAGGCTGTGCGGGAGATTTCTATGCAGAGTCTGGTGGCATGTTGACCTGACAGGTGCTGCAGATTGCTGCTGGACCCTATCACACCTTGGTGCCTTGAGAGCTCTGGGAGTGGAAAGGATGGTCTCACTGATGTTGAAAATCTGGGAGCCAGAGGACTCACAATTTGCCATGTGTGTCGCGATTGCACACAGTTTGTTGTTATTTGGATCCCAACAAACCTCATGGACATTTCACACATTTCCCAATTTGAGATGAGTCCATCATAGATCTATATACATTTGGGTGTGTCTCAACATCGTATATACATAAATTATATCATGGCACTGACGGACGGAAGCGGCGCCTAGCAAGCACGCTCCAGTGCCTACCGTTGCCTTCTGAACCGACAAGAAACCAGCTCCAAAGTGCAGCTCCCATGCCCACAGCTCCACAGAAAAGTGCAAGCGGGCGATTCCGAAACAGCAAAACACCATGGCACTGAAGGACGGAAGCGGCGCCTAGCAAGCAGGCTCCACTGCCTAACGTTGCCTTCTGAACCGACAGCAAGAAACCAGCTCCAAAGTGCGGCTCCCATGCCCGCAAAACAGCTCCACAGCGAAGTTCTAGCAGGCGAGTCCGAAACAGCAAAACACCATGGCACTGAAGGACGGAAGCGGCGCCTAGCAAGCAGGCTCCACTGCCTAACGTTGCCTCCAAGAAACTAGCTTCAAATCTTGCTTTTTCCTGCACCCTTGCTTGTCCAATTTTCTCTCTTCGCCCCTTGTTGCTAGTAAGGCCTCCTCTGGCGCGCTCCCCCTGCTGGCGGCAGGGGTTGGCGGATATATATATATATATATTAATATACGTGTGTATAATATATATATATATACACACGTATATATATATATGATATATACGTGTGTATATATATACAATATATATATATATAATGTATATATATATATACATACATACACGTATATATCATATCATATGTATACATACATATTGTGTACATATATTTAAATGTATATACATATACACGTATTGTGATATTGTGTATATTATATATATACATGTATATATATATATACATGTATATATATACATATACATATACATATACATATATATATATATATACATACATGCATACATACACACATACATGCATACATACATGCATACATGCATACATACATGCATACATACATGCATACATGCATACATACATACAGACAGACAGACAGACAGACATACATACATACATACATACACACATACATGCATACATACATGCATACATACATACATGCATACATACATGCATACATGCATACATACAGACAGACAGACAGACATACATACATACATATACACATATCCCAAATCCACAATACAAATCACATTTTTCACCATGAAGGTGGTAATATCTTGCCATTTTTATTGGTGGACTGCCAGGTGTTGATGGAGGATGGCGAGCTGATCACCTTTGGTCAAGGGGCGAGTGGAAGACTGGGCACAGGCAGTGCGGCGCTCCAGAGCTCGGTTTTTTTTCTGTTTTTCCACCATTTAAACATTGGAAAATCAATGATTTTCCCATGAAATTAACATGAAAAGCTTCATGTTTGAGGATTTCCCATGACTCTGCCATCAGGCCACAGCAAGAACCACAAGTTGCCGGTGAGTCTCGGGGCGCATGGCTTCGCCACCAAGTTGAAGCAATCCACCGACGGGGAGAAGGCGGCCACCCAAAAGAGGAGCGCCGCCGACTGTGCCTGGTGCTACGAAGGTGAAGTTGCCCAGCTCGTAGTTGCCCTAGATGTATGTGTGTATATATATATATGTGTATAATATACGTACATGCATGCTATATATCTGCCTGTGCACAGGGTCCAAAGGGTATAGTACTGGTCCCAAGTCACCCGTACCCACTATAAATATTCAATCTTGCTCATGAACCGATGTTTCTTTTGGCAATCCATTGGAATCTTCAACAGCAATGACCATGACTTTCACCAGATCTGTCACACAATCGTCACATCAGACACTCAAAATATAGGTTTTGGAAGGGGGGATAGCAAATATATATATATATACATAATATGTATATTATATATTCGATATATTTCATATATATATATAACTAGATTTAAGATAACCGGGAGATTTCTGACTTTGTCCGGATGCTGTGGCCAGATGGCTTCAGGTCCCCAAGGTTCGACATGTGCAGGAGCTTGGAGCATCCTTCTGAAAAATCCTTGAAGAGATCTGCTGCGGCCTCCAGTCAGCCTGGAGGGAAGCAAAGTTGGGAGATTGCCAAAGTCGACTGTGAAGGACTTAGATCTTGCCATGCCGTCGGGATTTGGCAAAGGGGAGTTTCGTGAGGTTTGAATTGTCTACCAAGCAACCAACTGGCAGAGATTGTGATGTAGCCAACTTAGCTAATTGTTGAAATCCATTTTGTTTGCGTCTCACTAAAGTCACTGAATTCAACGAATCCATGCTCCACTCTTCAGCGTCGTTTTAGTCCAATGTCCTTGAGATTCCTTGAGATTCTGTGGAAATTTGCGAGGTGGAGAAATGTTTACCTGCGCTGTCACGTGGCATGGTGCTCTATACACCTGGGGCTCGGGTGCTCGTGGGCAGTTGGGGACCGGCAGCTTGCAGGAGAGCTGGGATCGAAGTGTCTTTGTTCCGGTCGCCAAGTCTGGAAACAGAACGATCTTCTTGAAAAGAACTTTTTTCAAAGGCGGCCACGCGAGTTGCAGGAATTTCAGTGAACCAATCATGTTGGTCCCCCCAGCACGATGCAGGACAGCTGGGTGCCAAAGGTGGGGACAGGGGAGGAGGGTTCCGGGTCACCAGGCATATTATTTTGGCCATCTTCTCAAGACAGAGCCATTTTGACGCCACAATACTTTACATACCTACATACACCTACCTACCTACCTACCTACATACCTACATACCTACACACCTACACACCTACATGCCTACCTACCTACCTACCTACATACCTACATACCTACACACCTACACACCTACATGCCTACCTACCTACCTACCTACCTACCTACATACCTACATACCTACACACCTACATGCCTACCTACCTACCTACCTACCTACATACCTACATACCTACATACCTACATGCCTACCTACCTACCTACCTACCTACATACCTACATACCTACATACCTACATGCCTACATGCCTACCTACCTACCTACATACCTACACACCTACATGCCTACCTACCTACCTACCTACCTACATACCTACATACCTACACACCTACATGCCTACCTACCTACCTACCTACCTACATACCTACATACCTACATACCTACATACCTACATACCTACATACCTACATACCTACACACCTACACACCTACATGCCTACCTACCTACCTACCTACATACCTACATACCTACACACCTACACACCTACACACCTACACACCTACATGCCTACCTACCTACCTACCTACATACCTACATACCTACACACCTACATGCCTACCTACCTACCTACATACCTACATACCTACATACCTACATACCTACACACCTACATACGTACACACCTACACACCTACATGCCTACCTACCTACCTACCTACATACCTACATACCTACATACCTACACACCTACATGCCTACCTACCTACCTACCTACCTACATACCTACATACCTACACACCTACACACCTACATGCCTACCTACCTACCTACCTACCTACATACCTACATACCTACATACCTACA